ATGAAGCCCCGCGGCTGTTGAGCGGTGCGCGACACCATCGATGAGACCTTCTCGTTTTCCGATTCGTTAGGAAATCCTCCGAGCAGCTTGTAAAGAGGAAAAAAAAAAAAAAGTTGGAGCCAAAGTAATGGGAGGAGAGTCGGGCCACGTGTTGCCTGCGATACCTATACGTGTGTACGCTTCTCCTTCGTCGCGGTCGATTTTTCAATTCCCCTTTCGCTTCTTCACCGCGGTCCCCGAGCTGCCCTGATAAACGAGCTGCGGCTCCGATATTTACCTATCAATTCGCCCCAGGTAGTGCATCGGCCGACCTTGGCACCTGTGCGAGGAGCGTCAACGTGATTTATAAAGAGCCCCGTGCCCGGAAAAAAAAAAAAAAAAAAAAAAAGAAGAATAGTAGTACTTGTCGTCGCATCGTCGCCGTGGGAGTTGTCGAGCGCTTGTGCACTGATAAGGGCACTGAAACGACTATACCCCCCGGGGGTTTTTGGCTCTAAAATTATTTTATGAAGTGTCATCGCTGAGCTTTTCAATTTTTTAAAAAAAGTTCAGAGACAGAGGTGTCCCGATTTATCTGCTATTGTTCACAAAATTATCTGTTTTAAACTAAAAAAAAAAAAAAAAAAAAAAAAACGTGATGAAATTAAATATGGACTGTACCATATTGATGTCATTCAAGTTTTTGAATTGCCATTCGTGAATTAGCAATAGATCCAATTCATGTGACTACAATTATATTTCAAATAGCAAAGTCCAGTTAATCGTATCAAACGTACTTACTCTAATCTAGCGGCACTTTAAACCAAACATTTAATCACATCGGTAGCCCAAAATTAGCAAAAACACAAAACAAAATGAAAAGCCCAACGATTCGCTTCCTTGATCAGCAATGCGTGTGACCATTTTCAAAAAGAGATAAAGCCCCGCACAATTCAATAAAGAGACTCCTCCTCCTTTGTGCTCGCTCGGTGGGAAGATACCACAATAAAAATTTAGTCCGCGGGGGCGAAGCGGGAGAGCGACGAGCGAGAGATGAATCGCTTCGTGGCGTTTGCGAAATAAAAAAGCCACCGACTCGGCACAAAGGAGCGGGGGAGGATGAAACGGCCCAGGGAAATTCCTCCGCGGAGCCACACAATGGCAGATACAGTCGATCCGAGAGTCATTAAGGGCTCCTCCTCCCTTTCGGGTGCACCGTATCGATGGATGGAAATTGCCAGCGGCGCGGGATTCATCGACCAAGTGATTCCGCACAATGTGAGATGTGGATCCAGCGGTGCCAAAAAAATGTCTCACTTCTGTGACTCAACCTCGCCCGGTCGGCCCATCACTTTTGTTCAGCCCGACCCTCGGCACACGCGCTCCATGCATCTTTGTTTCGGGTCCCTCCGTCGCAATACCGCGCGCACGGCACTGTCACCCGCGAACACGCGCTCGTTCACGTGCGAGTTTTCTCCTTTTCTCTCTGTCCGAGCGTGCACTGTACTCACAGGGCGTGTGCTCGTTTTTCCAGCTGATCCAGCGCGGGATTTTGGTGGACGCGCGGTGAAACAGACCGGGGCCCTTTCAAGAGGGCCCCCCCGACGAGGAGCACCCGCCGACAGGCGGCACACGAGGCGGGTAAGTGTGTACCAAGTTTCATTGTAAATTTTTCTGACGCGGCGGCAGTGTATGTGCTTTGAATTTAAAAGTTTTTAAAACGCGGGATTCGTGGAAATAAAAAAAAAATAGAATCCCATATCGCGAACGCGGGGGTGAGCGTTTAAATTTATTGGGTCGTTCGTTACGAATGCACCGGACGTGCCCCAATACGTACAAAACGTGAACAACACCGTTGGTTTGAATAAAAATTTCGTGGCCCGTTTCGAATGTAATATCTACTCGTGGTGTCTGGGATGAAATTTTTCGTTATCTCCGCCATATAATGTGTGGTTTTGATTCATTTGGCCTTATCTTGAGGGACTTTTACCACGGGAATCGTTAAACAAAAGTTGTGCTATACGTATGTAAGGGTTGGAACTGCACTTTGCAAAATGAAAATTACAAAAGATGTGAATAAATAAAAATACCATCTAGTTTTTCAATCTAAGTTTAATTTAATCAACACTATCACGAATTTTCAATTTTTTTCATTATTGTAATTTGTACACGATAGAAACCCAATTGTCTACAAAATAACAACATACGTAGGTACTATTATGCGCATTCAAACGACTCATTAATAAAATTGAATCAATATTAAATAAAAATACACACACGACGTTCGAGACAAGTCGGGGTTTCCATCATCCCGTCTCATTGTCACGTATCTCGCAAAAAAGCTCTTTTCCAAACACAAGCGATGAAAAACCAACACTTTAGAAAAGCCTCCCAAAGTCTTCCCACTTTCGCAAAACGACCCTTTGAAGTAACCCGCAAGCTTCATCGATCTAAATGGGCACAAAGTCCGTTTAACCACTTCCGGTACTGTAGGCAGCTTACGCGCAAGCTCCCGGCTCTTTCCCCACCTACAGCCGCGCCCGTGGCAAGAAGCTTGCGGCCTTACCGACCAGCGTCCCCTTCCGCGTCGATAAGCGCACCACGCACCGCCAGCACAAGCGGAAGGTCGAGGCTCCCGAAAAAGCTCGGAGCACAGCCAAGAGAGAGTCAAAGTTCGCCGGCGAGGCCGGCAGCTCGCGCCCCACATTCCCCTCTCTCTACGGGCCCCTTCCCACAACGGAGAGAAGCGAAATCGCGGCGTGTGCTTTTTCGCTGGTCCGGCCGTGCGTTCGAAATAAACGGCCGCTGGAAAATGGAAGCCGTGGCTGGGGGGCACGGGACGACGGAGAAATGGCCCACCCGGGGCGACTAAAAATAAAAATCCAACGTCGCGCGCTTGCCGTCTCCCGCGTGAGCGTGTGCCAGAGGCTCCGGTTCGCCGCCTGGCTCCGGTCTTGGTATCAGTATCCGATTATCCGTCCGGCGACCGCGACCGGATCAGCTGAGCTCGAGCGCCCCTTGTTTTTGTACACGCGCGCCGGACAATCAAAGTACCCGTGCTTGGAATTTTTCGGGGTGACAATTATTATTATTATTGTTTATTTGTTAGTACGAGCCAATCGGAAAGAACAGGACCAACAAACAAGGGAGACTCGCTACTTTTCCCCGACACATGTATACGCGGTAGCAAGTACAGAGGCGCACCGGTCATACACATATATATATACATTGTTGTGAAATAAGCAAACAGGTAAATAATATAACTACAGCACAGCGCGGTGTATATAGGACAAGGTGTTGGACGAAACAACCATGGGAGCTTTCGCAAGCTCGGGGGTGTCGAGCAATGCCCGCTGGTGCGCGAAATAAACTTTTTTTCCTAGAACCACGCTCCTCTGAGCCATTTTTTTTTTTTTTTTTATCCAATGTCACATACTTTTTTCAAATTCACCAAATAAATTTGATAACGATTATTTTTTTCTTCTTTTGTTGTAAGAAAAGAAAAGTTTTTGGCGCGTGTGCGGGGTGTGTGTGTGTGTGTGTATTTGCGAGTTAAAAAAGAGTCGGTGAATCACCGTGGACCGCACTCAAGAGCGAGGCTGTTTCTATTTCGCATCGGCGCTGGCGTTTCGCTCTATTTTCGTGAATCCGTGCACATCCATCGAACCGCCGTGAGCGCTTAATCAAAAAACCTCCAACCGGATATCTCTTAATTATCCACGAGGGGGTTAACAATCCAACCCTTTTTTGTTCGTATCGCAAATTCTTGGGGGGAAAAGCCGATATTCAACATATGTACAGCCGATTTTGGAGCACCTCGAGTGTGTGATTCCGAGCTGTGTCCGTCGTTCCAACAGTGGGCTATAAATAACGCCGAGACCGTCGGGAGGGAAACACTTTGTTTGGATTCCGCAAAACGCGTAAAGTATCGAAAAGCCAAGAGTCGAGCTTTTCGCCCCGCGAAGGTCCGCTCGACTCTTTATACCTGCCATCATTGTTGAGCTTTTATTTTGGTACGTGCAACGCGTCATGGTCGAGTGATTCATTTGTTTTGCGTGTATTTATACGCTCATTTGGGGGGAGGGGGACAAAGGGCCGATGTGACCAGATAAACGACAAAGAGATCGATCCTTGCGGAAGGCACGGGGTAAAGATGGCCCGAAGAACGGGGCGCGTGTGTCGTTATTAATAACGCGAAATTTGGAAACGGAGGAAACTCGAGTCGTGGCGACGAAATAAGACTTCACGGGATCGCGCTCGGGCTTTCCGAAAACAGCGTCGCGGAAGCATAGAAAGGAGAGGAGAACTTATACAAAAACCCAGTGTCAAACCCAATTTCACGCGGTGTACCCGCTGGACGTGTATAGCAACAAGTGGCACCTTTCCCTTTTAATGCGCTATACTGTATGCAGGGCGAGTGACGATGACGGAAAAAATCGTTGATGAATAAACGCAAAAGCAGCGCAGCGTAGCAGAGGTTGAGCCCAATTAAACAGAGCCATTCTCTCTCGCATCGGCGAAAATCTGTCGGATCGCGCAAATTGAATAAACGAAGCGAGAGCAGGGTAATAAAGCCAGCAGTGCGTGTGCGTCACGCGCCTCCCTCCTCCTCCTCAAAGCTCCCTTTTCCCCGCGACGCAAAAGACCCCGAGATCGCGTGAAAGCTCGCGAGCGCGTATTCTTCGCTTTCGCCGAGCGCCCGCAAGGCCAGCGGACCTCGAAATGTCACCCCGAGTGGGAATCGAGGCTTCTTCGTCCCTCCCCCTTCTCTTCACATGTTTTTTTTTTTTTTTCATCTCGTCCCGGCGCCATCACCCACGTATCCGCTCACGAATAAATATTTTGCTGACAAATGCACAGATACAACACACACTCGCGCTACTACTGCGTCTATATATACATGCAGTTTTGCATTTTCGTACGGCTGATTCGCAACCACTGTATCAATTCATCTCTACTTACTAAATTACCGTGTGGAGTACCTGATTGAGGAAAAATACTTTAATTCTACCTGATTTTTTTTCTATTTTTATAATGCAATATGCAAATTATAATAGAGAAAATATTCTAGTGAAAATCAAGTAAAATCGAGGTAGTTTTACTTGACCACTCGAATTATATTATGGATTATCATCAAGAAATCACCAAATGAATAAAATATACCTATTATCTGTTTTGGATCGCTCGCACTTTATACTTTCACCATATGATACGTTGCCTCTATGAGGAAACTTTTTTTTTTTTTTTTTTTTATTAACGACGCGTAACAATAAACATAATTTTCAAACAACCAAAAACAACATAAGCACATTGGCAACAAAATGTCCCTCGGCACCAGTGAAAAACACACATCGTACAACGCATTGTAAAAAGTATGTGTATACAAATGACTAATCCTTATCTACGAGCCGTTGTATACCCATCGGGCAGTAAAAGCGATATGGGATAATTAGTCGGTACTATCTCCAAGAAACATCGCACGCGCGCAGTCTTTTAATAATTGTTCGCGCAATGTGTATGCAACAGAAACGCGCTGCCGTTGCTGCTTCGAGCCAAAGTAGTGCATTAGTCACGCGAGAGATAGAGACGGGGAAAGCGATGATGCACTACTGGTGTTTAATGTATATTATACAGTATCACGGACGGGAGAAATTAAAACAGCAAAAAAAACGGTGGGAGGGGTTATAGTGAAAATAAATTTTAAAAAGTAACAAAAGGACGTTAATGACAGGGAGCATGGAGCAGTTCGAGCAGCTGCTGACATGCGCGATCTGCCTGGACCGGTACAGAAACCCAAAGCTACTGCCATGCCAGCACAGCTTTTGCATGGAGCCCTGCATGGACGGGCTGGTGGATTACGTCCGCCGACAGGTCAAGTGTCCGGAGTGCCGGGCCGAACACCGCATACCTTACCAGGTGCGTATAATATAACAACCGTACTCTCGTACGTGAGAAAAAAAAAAGGAAGGGAAAAAAAAAAAAAAAAAAAAAACGTTGCAGGGCGTGCAAGCTTTCCCAACGAACGTGACCCTCCAGCGATTCCTCGAGCTACACATCGAGATCACCGGCGAACTGCCGGACCCAACGAGCGGTCAGATAATGGAGCGCTGCAGCGTCTGTTCCGAGAAGAGCTACTGCAACCTGTGCGCCCATTGCGAAAAAAAGTGCTGTCCCGAGTGCAAGGAGGAACACATCAAGATACTCAGGAAAAACATCGTCAGCATCAACTCACAGGTATATTGGGTGTACCCTAATTTTACGTCTATAATATGATGCATGGAAAGTACCGGCAACAAAGCATAAACAAAAGGTATACATATATACCTTGACGGGGGGTAGAACGTTGTCAGCAAACTGGCCGAGGATGTTGCCGGCCGGTTCGTAGTTGCACACGACGTATACCTTGCCGGACCGGGGGCTAGTTGCCTTGCCGACCCCTAGTTTCTTAGTAGCCTTCCAGACCAGTTGCGTAAAGTGGCCCACGGCAGCGATACCCTCGGGACATGATGGTGCGGGCCCTCCAAACTCATACGCCGATATCTCGTCGTACCTGCCTCGCGTAACTTTGCATCGATTACGGCGTCCAAACTCACGGGTGTATAATGCCAATGTGGTACAATGCGCGTATAGTGTATAACCAGGCTTGGACGGGTTCGCGGGCCCCGAGCCTCCTCGCGGGATCCCCATCCAATCCGACGTAAAGATTCTCCCCACAAGTACCTTCTTGCCGATGTTCAAGAGTATCCTTATCGGCGAGAGTGAGCGCCCAGTCTTGGGCAAAATCGTTTAACTTTACCGGGGAAGGCGGGAGAGAAAAAGAAAAAAAAAACGTACTTTTTCTTGTTTCTCCTCGATTTCATACGCGCTCGAAGCTTTTTACCTTTATGTCGATCTGCAACTCCGGGGAATTGTGCAGGCTGCGCAGCGCGTTGTGGTACTTGAGACACTCGTCCACGAACTCTGGACTAATGGGTTGTTTTTTTTTTTACGGTTAACGATTCAATGAACAAATGTATACATATAGGTACAACCATTGTTGGGGAGGAAAGAAAAAATAAAAACTCACTCGCCCATCGTTTTAAAAGATTGTAGCGCGAAGGGGGCAAAAAAAAGGGGGTAGTTTATAGGTTACTTGGAAATTTTGGGCATGTTTGTTTTTGTTCTTTGCGTTGGAACATCCGAAGGGCGACTGCACGGATGATAATTATATAGCACACATTAAGCAGTGTACATAATATACATACATGTATATATATATGTATGGTGTTCGAAACGGGCGTGTATTGTACCTGGAGGGGGTTGTTTCGTGGTTTGGCAGGTGCGGAGGGCCCTGCATAGACTCCAGGAGGCCCTGGCGCAGGTGGAGAAGAACACCCTGGCCCTGCAGACTAACGCGTCGACGGTGGGCGAGGAGGTGGACGAGATCTACAGGCGGCTGAACAAGGCGCTCAAGGACCGGACCGAGTTTTTGCGGAACGAGGTCGATCGTTACCTAAACACCGAGCTCCGGGGCCTCGTCCACCTCAAGGAGAACCTCGAGCTCGAGATCGCCAACATACAGAGCAACTGCGACCTCGCCGACGCGCACATCAACGAGAACGTGCCCTGGGACGACAACGAGCTACTCGACACCAAGGAACTCTTCCTCCGCACCCTCGAGTTCATCCGGTACCTATACGCATACTCATGGGGTGGGAAGGGGGTAGTTTTTGGCGCCCACTTTTTTCACATTGTCGATTCAAATTCAAACGACCCCCAGGAACTTTGAGTACGAGGCGAGCGATTACAGTAGGCGGATGCGCTTCGTGATGGCGCACGACCCGAACCAGCTGGTCCTGCACGTGGCTGGGTACGGGGAGCTGAACATCAAGCCCGACGCGGGGGCCAACGCTCTGTTGGGCAGCACGAGTTGCCTCTCCGTCCCCGGCGCAACGCCTGGCGGGCTCATGCGCAGCAAGAGCGACCACCGACTCGCCTCCCAGTACAGACAGCAGGACGACGACCGCACCCATGGCCGTAACCGCTACGTCCCCGACTACGAGTGAGTCTTTGACTGTTTGTCATACCTATCTCTCTCTTACTTTTATTTTTCACAACTTCCTATTTATTTGTTTGTTCGTTTGTTTGTTTGTTGTCTGGTTTCGGTTTTTTCATTCGCTCGATCGAGAGTTGCGTCAAGCTTTTTCCAAGCGATCAACAAAAAGAGGGTTGACGCGGACTAGGGGGTGGTTAACATAACCTCAGCTGTTGGTTGTTTGTGTATGTATACAAAGGGGCGGGAGCTCGACGATCGATAAGCCTTGCAATCAGCTGATGTATACCTAATATGTTCTTCTTGGTTCGTGAAACAGTTGGAAATTTTTTGTTTTTCGTTTTATTTCCTTCCCTGTGGCATGTATATTGCATATATGCGACGGCCGAATATAGGGGAAGGTTAGTCTTGATGAAGTATAGCGTACTTATCCGTGCACTGTTGGTTTACGTAAAGGCAAGGACGGGCGTTCGAGCGGAAATCAATACTCTCATCCACTTTGCAATAAGTGCGCCGCGTCTGTGTGCGGATGCTAAATATGAACTCGACGCACTCTCACCCTCCCGCGCCGCGCTAGACGCAGTCGGAGAAATTATTAATCACGCGCTACCCATACATACCCCCTGCACGGCTGTGGGGGATGCAAAGCGAAGTCTATGCATTGACGTGTTTTATTACTTTTTCTTTTTTTCCACTCGTGATTACTTGTTTGTAAGGTCCCCACGTGGCTTTAACCTTGCAAGGAAGGGGAAAAAAAAAAAAGATCGAATGCACAAAAATACGCACGAAAATAGATTTCGGTGTAGGTGTAGATACGCGTATAGCTTTGGTATTGGTCCAAAATCAATTCGAATTAAGCGGAGGGAAGTCTCGCGTGTATACCTATAACACGGGATTATCATCATCATCGCCGTGTACACTTGGTATAAATTTAAATCTTCCATTCGACGTTGCGTCGTTTATTTGATTTTATTTCGGGCTCGCCGATCCTGCGCGTGTCCGTATCTTTTCGCGTTACAAAGTAAAGTGTTACAATCGACGTGGCACTGGAAATGCAAACGATCCTCGTCATTTCGTAATTGTTCAGCGTCAAATCACCATGCACGGGTCTGTTACTTTTCCGCCTTTTTTTGTTCATCAGTCGGACCAAAATTTTTTTTTTTAATTTTTTGCTGCTCCAACGGAAAAAGGAAGGGTACGACAGACAATAGGATCGAGCAAGGGCTTAGATCGCCTCTTAGTTCCTTGTCCACCGTGCGCATGTAAATACACATAAGTACGCGTATGACGGTGTGCAGAGTACGTATTATTTTGGCGCCTCGCCACAAGATGGTCCCTCTTTTTCCCTCGGTTGCGCGCGTGCGTGTGTGTGTGTGTGCGAGTACGTGGCGAGACGAGGCGGTACACACACGCTTTTTCAGAATGACCCACATATTCGGCCCGACCGACACACGTATACGAGCGCGCGCACGCACGAGGGTTATAAATACGGAGCTTTTGACGCTTATTTTTTCTGCCCGACCTTTTCGTCTTCGTTTCTCAACGCTTCTGGCTTCCACTCGCCGACTTTTTTTTCCAACAATATTGTTTCGTCGATATCAGCAGTTTTTGTTTTTTTTTCATCCGTCGTATCGCAAGTCTTTGCCAAAGCCTCGCGAAGCTCGAGCTTTTTCGCGCTATTTACCGCTCTGACTACAAAAGACACCATCAGCGATGCACACCGATGACAGTACACCAACTTTTTTTATCGCGATTACACCGTTACACTCATACAAATGAAAAATTGTAACGCATACAACCCCGTTAATCACGATCCACGCGGTTGCGCTATCGCGAAGCGCCTTTTTGTTCCCATGTACCTATTACACGGTATAAATTGTGTCTCTCTCTCTCTCTCTCTATGTCCCCTATCCCACGGTGGTCCAGCTGTGCAAACTTGCACTTCCGTGCAATTTTTTTTTTTCTCCCACCAGACATCAAACGCAAACACTGTGCTACATATATGTACGATACTTCATACGAGCGCCGGTGCGCTATACGTACTGCTCGGCAAACCGCGCGAATATAATTGCCAGTTGCGATAATGCCTCGTCGGAGGCGACGACCGCTCCTACCAAACAACGCTATTAACTGGTAAAATTCAAACTAAATAACACGCACTTTATATACACCGCCGTCGTAGTTTTTTTATCTCCACGCGACAATGTATACACATGGGCTCTTACTTCAAGTCTGACTACTTTGGCTTACTCTACTTAATCAAACCTCTGACATTGAAATGACCAATTAGTTCGATGTAATTGATCGGTAATGTCCCTCCATTCGGGGGTGCGGCGATTCGAGCTCTGGTTTGAGACACCTAATGTCTAAAATATAATAGGTTGTTCCTGCTCCTTTTCCTTTTTGTTTAAGCCGCGGGAGCTTGGATAAGGGAAAAAATTTGTCATCGAGTAGGTTCATTGTCGACCGGCTGCAGCATAGTAATGAAGCTCGTTGAACTTGGTGCAACTCTCGAAAGGGGCGTTTAGAGCACATGTGTATAAAACATAACGTCCCCCGTCTCTCATTTGTCGCGTATAGGTACGAAGCCGGGGAGTACGAGGCACCTCGGTCGCGGTCGCGGTACCGGTCGCGCTTCATGCGCAACCGGGACGGCGAGGACTCGGACGGGGACAGTAGGTCGACGGTGCGCTTCAACGCGCCCCAGGAGTCCTCGGCCTTGAGGGAGCGCGAGCGCGTTCTCGACACCGAGGACGCCTCCAGGGGACCCCTGTCCGGTATATTCCGGCTGACGGACTCGCCCCGTGTTATGAACAAGCTCAACGAGTGCGAGAGGGCCGGTAAACGCAAGAAGGACGAGCCACCAGCATCCACGGCTGGACACCAGCAGAGCCAAGCCAAGAGCCAGGTGAGCCAACGACACAACCCTTCCTCGCTTACGCGATTGGCACATCACTCTATTTTTTTTTTTTTTTTTTTTTTTTCGTCACTGAAAGTTTCTCATTTTTTTTCGTCTTTGTTGTCTCATCGCTTACGATTAATTTCCGTTCGCTCTCGCCCTCATTGGGGATTCACTCGGTCGCTTGTATGCAGCGAGGGATTGTTTTTTGCTCGAAAAAATGGGAAACTTTGGCAACGCGCGCCCTGTGTCTCTTTAATTTTGAGTAAAAGAAAAAAAAATATGTTGACTCGTCCTATGAAACGACCGAGCACTGTAACGAGTTCCCGTTTGTTTTGCACGAAATAAGAAAAAAAAAAAAAAAAANAAAAAAAAAAAAAAAAAAAAAAAAAAAAAAAAAAAAAAAAAAAAAAAAAAAAAAAGTCAAAGCAAAATCGTTTCGCAGCCCCCATCAGCCGAAAGCGAGGCCGAAAGCGCGTGGCCCTTCAAGAAAGTAATAGCCGACGTGCTCGTGCGCAACTCCACTGTCAAGCATCTCGGTATATTTCTTATATGTTGGATCTTCGTGTTGTGTGCCAAGCACTAGTGGCATTGTTGTATACAGACACAAATGCAATAGTCATACAATAATTATGGATTGTCATATAATATATATATATGCCAGAGAGTTTTGAATAAATGAAAAGTTAAACTCAACTATGGACACGTTTATTGTTATTTCGAGGTTTTTTTTTTTTTTTTTTTTTTTTTACAATAGCACGCAACGCCATTGCACTCTCACATGCATGTCACACACGAATCCCTTATCTCTCGAGCACGCCTATCGACGTAGCTTATTTGAGTAGCTTGCTATAAAAAAAAAAAAAAAAAAAAAAAAAATGACAACTCGTTTGTGTTTTCGACAGTGAAAGTGAAAGACCGGGAGTTCAAAAAAGGCCGAACGATATAGGATAAGTGCCAAACCACCGAGTAAAGAGCAGCGAAGAAAATAAGTTCGAAACGTTACTCTGTTTGGGTGTTTTTTTTACATCTTCTTCTACTTGGTGCCACACACACTCACACAGACACAAAAAAACATCGCAACACCATTTTTCTTTTATTATTTCTGTCTTTTGAATTTATTTAATTTTTTTTTTTTTTGTATCTAATGCAATAAAGTAAGACTCGCTGTTGAATATCATAAACGCATAATAATAATAATTATTTGTACTCTTCTTCGCCTGATTTTGCCATTAAATACACATGACATGGCCAATTGGTTTTTTCTCTGTCTTGTTTAGTTGAAAACAATAATTGAAATACATAATAATTATATTCACATTCCGTGTCTGATAGTTTATTTGAGAGAGTATTAAAACCTTGTTGGTTTGCGCAATTAATAATCGCATAATCATACCTTGTAGTGACAAAATAATACTTACTGTCAGAAAAATATCGCATGAGAAGAGCTAAACACAACCGGGCTGCCTTTTCTTTTTTTTTTTTTTTTTTTGCGAGACTGACACTAATAGCAAGTACATCTACAGATGACTTGGGCCGTAAAGAGCCGACGTAGGACTATTGTAATACTTTTGGATTGTACCAATGAATTGAGCAATCAATAAAAAATAAGAAAAATAAAAAAAAAACTTTGTTCCTTTGACAAACAGTACTTGTATTGTATACAGTAAACGGCAATTGGTGAACGCTATATGCTTTTGGCTCAGTATCCAGTTTGATTGACACGTAAAGCAAGAAAAAAAAGTCAACGTAATAACAACGACAGACGCTATAGCCTATTCCATTAGATAAGAAATTAACCGCGTAATATAGAAAAAGCTGGCGATTGATTGACAATCTCTTTTTTTACCAACTCAAGTAGTAACAAATCGCTGCAACGCGCAATAATCACTAATCGTACAGCGGCGAGCAGCTGCAGCTCAGGCAGCCAGGAAGAAAAAAAAAAAAAAAAAAAAAAGAAAAAAAAAATTAACGCGAGCGAACCGCGCTCTTTTTCTGATTCTGTTTTCTCGAACCGACGGCTACCCTGGGACGAGCGCAGGTCCAGCCGCAGCAGCGAAAACTCGCACCGTCGACGGTGGGCCGCGGGGTCGGCGAGGACGACGAGATAACCCGGATCAAGAAGCAAAACAAGGGCCCGAGCGGGTCTTCGCCGACAGGCTCGGCTGCCTCGCCCGTCCAGGAACACCACGAGGTGCGCCAGTCGCCCCAGCCCTTCTCGGCGCACGCGGCTCATCGGGACCACGCGGACCTCCCCGAGGAGACGGCCCGCAGAACACCCATCTCCAGGTAAATTGCCTCTGACAATTTTTTTTTTTTTTTTTTTTTTTTTTTTTAATAAATTGTTTCAACGTAGTCACAGGACGTCGACGGAGCCGCACGGTCCGGGGGGTCGTAGTGGCTCCTCGGAGTCGAGCACGAGTTCCGAGAGCTCGACCGGCTCGGGCATCCGCAGCACCGGCGCTCCCTTCACGACCGAGGAAATGAAACAAAAGTACCTGTCCCGTGGACCCCAGAACAGCAGTGCCAACAACAACAGTATCGGCACGGCCAGCAGCCCCGCAGGTTCGCTTACCTCCAACCGAGACTCCCCCGTTTCAGCTGTCACACCCAGACCCTTCCAGAGCCGTTTTTTAGGTGCAGGTAATTCACCACTTTGTCACGATTAACTCGCACGCGCGCCTCTCTATGTTTTCGCCTTTCTCTTCGACATCGCTATCAGCTCATCCGTCACACGTGCCCATATCGGTAATGTAAGAGCACTTTGACAACCTGTTGACTACTTTGTGTAAAGGCATTATCAAAAAGAGAAAACCACGACGGTATAATGACTCCAAGTGATTTTTCCGAGTACAATTCCAATAAACGATTCCACTGTAATACCTCCGATGTGTCATGTAACAAACGCCTCGTGTCTCTGTATAACAACGCACGTGCGGTCAAGCATTACTCATTACTCCGATTTTAAGGGTGGGGGGGAAACACTCTCTCTTTAACGTAACGAAAATTATTTCTTTTAACTTCACCAATGTACAAATAACTTCGACGGCTACTCGTTGAACCACCGCATGCAGCGCAAGTACCGTAATCACGTAGACAGAACTAATTCAGTCGGCGACTGTCCGTTGTCTTGTCTGTTTTCTCCCGCAAAGGTAACCGCGCGGCACCACCACCACCACCTCAGTCGTCGTCAAGCGCGGCATCGGTCGCCAGCCGGGACGAGCCGGCCTCGAAGACGCTGAAGAAGGACGAGGCGGAGGACGAGGAGGACACGAGCAGCTCCTCGGAGGACAGCGACTCGGAGGAGAGCGAGGAGGAGTCCGAGCCCGAGCAGCCGAGCACCAGAGCCGCCAGCCAACCGTACCAGTACCCCGCGACCATGAGCGCCTCCCAACCGAGCCGCGAGTCCGCGACGATGGCGCGCACGGACATCGGGCCCCTACTGGCGCGCAGCGCCGAGGCCAGGCGGGGCAGCAAGGAGGACTCGCCCAGTACAAGGCAAGGCTTGGACACCCCGAGCTCCTTGGCCGGGGGGGTTGTCAAGGGCGCGGCGGTCGACGACGCGAGCGTCCTAAGGGACAACAGGAGAAACCACAGGCTCGAGTCGCGGCAGAACCACTCGAAGAGGCACGCGATCAAAAAAGCCGCCGGCCGGCTAGCCATTGGCGTCCTCGAGAACCTCTTCGGGTGACTGTTCGCTTGGGCCGCTCTCCTGGCTTTTTTCGCTTGCGCCCTGATTGTCGGCAGACGGGCTTACCGGTGTCGCTCGTAGAATCGGTGTTTCTTCTTAATACTTAATAATACTTTTACCAGTACCTGTGCTGTGTCGCTGCGAGGCGCAACTCTATTGGATCGAGTCCCGATACATCATACATATATACATATTAACGTTGTCGAGAGATTTTTATCGAGTGTTTTCACTGTGCTACAATGCGCGATTCACTTACGCTTACGTGTAATAAACGTTGTTTACTGTAAAAACGCGAGGGCTACGACGCCTGTACGTTTTCACGGTAACTAAACAAATTGTCGAGGTGCAATATAGTATTACATAGATAACGTATAAAACAATATAAATAATATATATGATGGAGAAAGAAAAAAAAAAAAAAAAAAAAAAAAAAGATAATAGGATCGCAAGCGAAGAGAAATCTCATTCCTGACGCAAATGGCTTTGAACTAACAAACTAATTGTAAGTGTGGTAATAATTACAATCGATCCCAATTTGCACACGCGCATTTAACGTATTTGTAACAATATAAATAAATATGTATAGATGATCCATACTGTCCACGTCGAGAGATGAGTGGACTTTACACGTTTGTACAAAATGGCAATCCCTCGTAACGACACGTACCTTAATGATCGTCGTGATCACGAAACACGCATAAAAAGTATATGGGAGCCGATTGTAATTGTTGCTCAGCGTTTTAACCAGAGCTTTTTATTTATTTTTTACGAGAGATGTTTGTTAACAAGATCGTTTGTTTAACGTATTTATTAACAAGACGATTACTAATCGATTGTTTTTAGCGTATACTAATTTTTTATTGTTGGTTTTTCCTTTTCTCTTATTTTTTTTATTTTATTTTTATTTTTTTTTTGTATTGGAAAAAGAGATATTTGTTATTATTGTATATTTTTAGCACTAATAGAAAAAAAAATTAATAACGGGCTGGCCCTAAAGTTGACAAAATGAACACAGTCTAATTATTTTGACGAAAATTGTAGGCTTAAGGAGCCTTTAAGGATGCTGTGCAGTAAAATTTTTCGCATTTCGGCAAATTGCATTTACATGCATCGTACCAACTAACGATATACACCTGAAACCTGTTGACATTGTCTTTATAGAGTTTATTTTATTTTTTCGCTATATACATGAACGGGTGGCTTTGACAGTCACCGGATATATATTTTATGAGAGTTGAACAATGTATATCTATATATATATTTACGATTTTGCTGCACAATAAATGTTTTATCGAAAAAATTGGCGTATTTATTTTGCCTTCAACAACCATTTCGATATTCATACGAGGGTAACGAAAGATAAAACTGTTACAGCTATCCTTTCGGGCGATATATTATATATAATATACAACACAAAAGTGATAAAAATATACTTATAATTATATTAATCGTAAATATCCTTGTGTATGAGATATATACGAAATTCTTGCTGTGCAATATACGAATTTAGTGGAATTAGCAGATGTGCTAATTTTTCTATACAACAAAAAAAAAGCTAGCTTAAATATTAACCCAATATACATCGGAACATAATTATCTGCATCTAAACTGTTATTCGTAAACTGTTTCATATATATATATGAATATTAAATATCATCTGTTGAGTGTATCTATGAAATATTTTCGACGAAACGAAAAGGAAATTCCTATTGGTAAATATATACATATAAATATATAATAGAGAATATAGAAAAATTTACTTGCCAAAATATATTGAAAAGTTTATAAATTTATAATCGCCTTGCTAAAAATAGATAAAGAAAAAAGTAAGAAAAAAGTATTCTACCGAAATTGTGATAAATGTGATGTAAAGAAAATGTTTAAAACTGTGAAAGCTGTTGTAACAATGAATTAACATGTATTAATTATTCTGTATGAGAAGAAAAAGGTGAAAAATCATGAATAAACGTGACTTACGCTGTTGTGATACGAAACTTTGAGATTTGAAAAAATTCTTCACGTATCTCTCGTCAAACACTTAAACATCACTTTTTTTTCTCGTCTCGCCTCATTTTATTTTATTTTTTTCGCATCTTCGCAATCACGTGACATTTAAACACCCAAGAGCACGATTTTGTTTCAGTTTTAAACATTATTCTTGATTTGGCCATTATTTATGATTTAATTGAAAAAAAAAAAAAAAAAAAAAAAATGCCCATCCAAAAACAAGGCAGTGTCGGCACCAAGGATCCCCATGCCACATCGAAATTAGACCACACGCACGTAACGTTTGCCTTGTCTGTCCGGAGCAGGTATGGGACACCGAGGGGCAGCCCCGCCCAGTCCGCGGCCTCGCCGACGAGCACAAGCACTCCTGCCACGACGACGCCCGGCGGCTACACCAGCAGGTTCGTAAAAAGCGATCACGACATTCACGACTTCGGTTCGAATTCCAGTAAGCCAGACGAGTCCCCGGGTGCCGAGCTCCCCTCTAGCGATCGCGACGACGACAATGACGATGACGACACGGGTGACAGCAACTACGACGACGACGACGACGCAGAGGGCGAGTCCGGGAAGGCGCGTTCCGCGGATCCAATCGCCGACGCCGGCCCATTGCCACAGCTGTCGTCGTCGTCGTCGTCGTCGTCATCCGTGTCGCCCGGGCCCGCACTTGTCCCCAGCGACGACGACGACTGTCACAGTAGAGCGTTGCAAAGCACCGAGGCGAGCGAAAAGTTAGCGGGGCCCATCGTCGACGGCCAAAATGGCCACAAGAGCCCACCGGCCGGCGTCGAAATCTTTGTCGAGGGCAAGCCCTGGACTTCGCTCGAGGACGAGAAGACGACGACGACGACGACGACGGTGGTGAACGAGGAGCGCAAAAGCCCACGCGACAATGAGAGATTCGAGACTGAAAGCGACAATAGCCCCAACGGGGGGCCGTTTCGCAACGACGGCCACCAAAGAGAAGGTGGTGGTGGTGGTGATGACAGTGACGGTGGTGAAAGTGAGGACAACGAGAGCACGAGTTACGACAGCAGTAGCCGGGAGAACGGCCTCGGGGCCGAAAGTGAAACTCTGAACGGCGTGGCTACCGGTAACGACGACAGGGACGGCGACGACGGCGACGACGACGACGACGACGAGAGTGCCAAGGGAAAAGGTAGTTTCGAGACGAACGGTACCAATGGCACCGATGCGAATGACGTTAAAGTAAGCAACGGGACTGGTGAAAACGGCCACGCGAGTGATAGTGACGACGCGCTGGGTCAGTTGTCCGAAACGAGTGGGGAGATGGACAGTAGTAGTACCTCGGAGGAGGAGGAGGAGGACGGGGTCCCAGTGAAGCACCAGCAGCCCGAGAAGGAGGAGAACCTCTTCGACGACAATGGCTGGGTGGTGGCGGACGAGGTCGGGCACAAGCTGGGCGAGAACAGCTGGGTCGTGGCCAAAGAGAGCAAATTGAACGGCTGCGGTGGCAGGGAAGGGGAGATCAACAACAACGAGGTGCGGCTCGCGGGAGAGCTGCCGGCTAAGGTGGACGGCCAGTGGAGTATCGGGGAGAACGGTTGGGTCGTGGTCGGGCAGAACCACAACAACCACGAGGATCGAGGGGGTGGCTGCGAAGAGGATGAAAACGACGAGGCGGCCGCCGCTAACTTGGAGACGAGCGACCTCGTCGGTGCTTTGCTCCTACCTACTAGTACCGCTACGACTAAACGAGACCCGTCGGTCGAGGATCATAACTGTGCTAACGATACGAGTTCGATTCCCATGAGAATGGTAACCACCGTCTTCTGTGTTTCCGTACTGTGTTGTAGCGTCCTAATCAATTTTTTTATGTGACTCATGGTTACCCAAGATGAACACTTTTCTTCCGATCGATCAAGCATACACACGTCACGTTGTTTTTTTTTTGTTTTTTTTTTCTCTCTCTCTTTACACGAGCAGACAGATCTTTTTTTCGATTGTCCTCTTCGTTATCGCGGTGGGGAGCGTGAGAGAGATGATGTGTAAAAGGTGGGAAGGGACAAGAGCATGCGGTAAACACTACTTGGGGCATTTTCGAGGATTTTCTGTTTGCAGTTGTTGTTGTTGGTGTTTCTCGTGTTTTGTTCTTTGAAACCAGAATTTTCCCTTCTAAATTGATCTCTCTCGCTCTTGTCTGCGTGTCTGTATGCATAGGGGACTTCTATACGATTCCACTCATCGTTGTCTCATTTATAAGATCTGATGATGTTCGCGATACACAATTGCATGTGTACCCATGAGTACGTGTACTTATACACAATGTGATTATTATTATTATTTTTTTTTTGTTCTTGGTAGTGGCGCCATACAGCAATACATGTGTGACATTTATACGTATATTAATGGCCTTTAATGCATTTTTCGTCTTCTCTAATTAAGTTATTGTGATAATACGTGGTAGTTTATCGTAGAATCGCGAGAACCTATCATGATACGTTTACACGAACCAAACAATGAGTAAATTATCGTTCCTATTGGCGCATTACTTTGTAACTTTAAGTATTAAACAAAACTCTATTGATGATGCGTTGGTGTTGTTTTCTTTTCTTTTCTTTTTTTTTCCATCTCAAAATTCGTTTCGATGCATTGCGAGACAGTATCACATGACTGTCGAACCTCGCGTTTTCACAGACCACTGTTGCTTGAGCCCATATATTATTAGAAATAACGAGGAGAGCGTGTGTGAAAAAAGTGCCTTTTTTAGCTTTGTAGTTGATTTTTTACGTTGATATACGCATCATGATTAATACACATACATTATATATTAGTATGTGCCCATATATGCCATACATGATTTATCAAGCCCACACGATGGGGTAATCACTATAGTTTTTAGATTTCCCTTCACGTACCCAGGTAGCTTTGTCCCCATGATATACCCAGCAATACAAAACAAAAAATAAGACGAAGGATAAGGAAAAAAAAAAAAAAAAAAAAAAATGGAGAAGAGAGCTAAGAGTCTTGAACGTCGTTCGTGAATTAAAGAGAAGCTGCATCGCCGATAGAGCGATTGAAGAAGAACGGCCCAATGGGCAATATTTTTCAAGGCTCTATTGTCGAGGCGGCGACAAAACGAACCATAAGTCTATAGTTTATTATCAACCGCATAATCTGTAGTACTGCTACATTCAAGAGATTTGTACTTTTGTGGCTTCTTCAATTTATATGCATAGAAATGAGCTTCAATCAGTTTGTTGGTGTGGTAAATAAACGGCATTATCGTGTGACAAGTCGCATTATTTATTTACCTTTCAAATCTACTGTCAATTCCCCGATTCTATTGTTCTCTTCTGTATTTGTCATCACTACAGTTGCATATTATACGCACACGTATAACAACATCATCAGAACACACACATGAACATTCAAAATAATACTCGCAACGACGCATGTTTAGCTTTTTCTCTGTGTTTCTCTGACTTTTATTTCCCCACTTATGTATGTTACTATTGGTTAACTCTCTACTTTTTTCCGCTTCAATAACTGCACTAAGTATCACATAGAAATAAAATAATTCTTAAAAAAAAAAAAAAAAAAAAAAAAAAGAAATTNGCGTCGCTCACTGAGGCCGCGCCACCGCCGCACTCGCGGTACGAGTCGAACAGCTCGCCGGTGTCCAGGGGCTGCGGTCGATTTACCCAAGTATTCGTCTATTTTTTTTTTTTTTTTTTTTTTTTCAAGCCTCTACACCTCGTGTTACATCTGTTTCAGACGATGGGGGGAAAAAAAATCAAAACTACAGCAATTTCGTAAGTTTGTCAATCGTAATCCGCCACATAACCAGGACGAATTTAACTACCGCGAGGGATGAGTAACTGGAGCCAATAAAAATAATTCGTTAGGAGCCGACATTGCCAAAAAATTCCGTCAAATCATCTTGACTTGCTGCCAGATTACTTCCGGCCTCGGGAAGAGTCTTCACAATTTTTTATCCCCTCTCGTACAGGCGGCCGAAAAAAAAAAAATCCGTGACATTGATCTATGAAAATAAATTTTCGTTGCAAGCTCTTCCAATTCGCGGAATTGAGGAGGAGGGGTGTTACCAAATGAAAATTGATCGGTTCGAGTGTATCTCGGGATTCCGTTTGATATACGCGAATCGTAGAAATTTTAAATGAGTTGCGTTAAGTTGCATTCAAAATCATCAGAAATTTTTTGCCCGATTTGTCAACTTTAATTAAATTAAATATTTGAAACAAAAAAAAAAAAAAAAAAAGAAATTGTACACCGATTACCTACTACGCACGCGTCATTCAGTACTGTTTATCCCGGAGACAAGACCTGCTTTAATGGTGCACTAACAACATCACATGGCTTGCTATGATACATCATCATCAAAGCTCAACATTATTCTTCAGATAAACTTCAGATACTTAAACCACATATTATGTGCTTCTTCCTTGTCCAATTAAATTATAGTACGTTTTTTTTTCTTTTGTTATATAACAAACAAATACAGGACCTTTCATGGTTTTGATCAGTACTATAAGTTTTTTAGTACTACGTAATAGCATTTCGTTGGCTTTACGAATTTTACTATGTGTTTTTATGTCTTAAAAAGAACAAAGGTTTTTGTACGTTCGTATTTTTTTCTTTTTTATGTTTAAATCATTTTTAAAAGGTAACTCTTGCGTCCATCCCAATCAAAGAAACATCTACAAGTAACGCATAACGACATCAAAAAAATCAACAAAAGATATTTCATTCGCCAATCAATTGATATCACATAGACAAACCAAAGAGCATGGATTGATCAATTGCATCATTGCATACTTGAAATAAACGATACGTGTGTATTTCTAGTAAATTCTGTGATCTAGTGCAGCATTAAAAAAACGCAAGGTTGACCTCTCACCAAATTGAAATTGAACCAAAGAAAAAAATCGAAATATAAAAATAAGTGGTTGTCGTCGATCGTACGGCTATAGAGCAAAAACTGATGAGCAGCGGCGTGGGATAATCGGCGTATAACCCGCACTTGAAATAAATATAATCACTGAGACAGCTACAGAAAGAAAGGGCCCGTACAGTCTGTGATCCTCTGCGGGTGTATGTGTATACGCGACGTGTATATACCAAGACCTCGATTCGAGAGCCCCCAGCTAACGTCGGGACTACCTCCCTCCCCGGGTGTTTGGCCACGTTTCAGGTTCCTGAACAAGAGCCGGAGCCAAGTGGCGCTGAACAACATCGGCAGCGACAGTCCCGCCACCACCACCGCGGCCTCCTCGGCCAGGTCGGAGCAGCAAACGGCGAACAGCATGAGCAGCAACCCCCTGGAGTCGTTGGACGCAAGCCAGGACTCGAGCCTGTCGCCTCGTTCGCGCTACGCGGCCCTGAAGGAGCGCCGGCAGCGGCTCGCCCGGTCGCGCAGCAGCCACAACTTTGGGGGTCCGGACGAGCTCGACCTCGACGAGGACCCGCCCTCCCCGACGACCCAGTCGCCCAACGCCTACCTGGCGGCCAAGTACGGCGTGGGCTCGGAGTTGGCGAGGAGCCGCAGCACCCACGCCCTCAAGTCCCGGGAGGCAAGTCCAGATCGCGAGCGGCCCGGCGCCGAGAAAGACGGCGCCGCGCTCAGCTCTTGGGCCCGCTACCTCAAAAACAAGTACGGTAACCGCGCGGCCAAGGACAAGGAGCCGCCCTCCTCGGCCTCCGCTATCCCCTCATCCAGGTAAATTCTCCGCTCTTTCACTTTTTTTCTTTTTCTTTTTTTTTTTTTTTTACTATCATTACTCGGTATGATGACGAACGATAATGAAAATAATGCCGTCATTCAATATTATACATTATATGAAAAATATATACATTGTTGGAAAACGTGGTAGCCTCGTTGTAACGCCTGTTTTTTGTTTTGTTACTTTTCAGGCACAAAAGTTATTGAATTTTTAAGTAAAGCATCGTTGAGAGGTTGTGCGAAAACTGGTCTTGAAAAAAACAAAGAACAAAAAAAAAAAAATCAGCTACGATAGAACAATAGAGACATTTACGTGCCGCTGTACCTCTCGTGTTAATTGAGTACGAGTGTATGTTAAAGATACATACTGTTAAAGATGCATACCACTGTTGAATAAATTGTTGCAAAAGGAGTAAACACTTTCAGTTATTTTTTTACTTGTCAACACCGCTGTTTTCAATATTATACGATATTTTTTTTCTTTTTTCTTTCTTTCAATTAACTTGAAATTTATTAACACGTTAACTAATTTTTTAATTTTTTTCGAAAAAATTTTTTTCAATAACTGGTGTAACGATTAACACGCTGAATGTTTTAGCAAAAATTAAAATACCGACTCAATAACTTTTAACACGTAACGGTTTGCGAAAGATTGTTATTACCTAACAAATGTTCATATTTTTCCAACAGTGTTATATATACACGATATTTATTTCAAATTGCTTTTTCCGTTTGGTCTAAACCATCATCATGATAATATATATCGTACATGAATATTATAACACCCACACTTAACTGAACTTTAACATCAGCTTTAGCTAAATACAAACACAAAAAGCTAATGCAACTTTTGAATAAAAGTACTTTTTTTTGCATTTGGTAGTAAATAACATATTTAATACACGAGTAGTGCTACGTGCATTAGCTTCAAAATAAAACAAAAACAAAAAAAAACTAAACACATTACAAAAACGATCAAAAACAGTCTCCCAGTCTCTTTACAGTTACATTTTATGCTGATAGATGTAGAAGTGAATTTTTTATGTTCATACAAAAATGTACGTACATTTTCATCGAAGCGTCATTTTTATTCACATTACATCATGAAATGCAGTTATTAAAAAGAGTATATTTAAAAACAGTAATATTTCGTTTTAGACGCTTGGAAGAAAAAATCAATGCTGTAGCTAATTCATTGAAAGAAAACAAGTATCGCGCGGGCGGGTAAGAAAGTCCCCGAGTGTAACAGTGAAATTAAACAAAAAAAAATGTTATACGAACATTACAAGTAATCATCAATCACCACCACATTCCACCAGCATTACCAAAAAAAATAATAATAATCATAAAAGTTATAACCCGATGTTTATGTAACGTTTCACCAACACTCTGTCATTAACTAAATATAGTGGTCTAATAATTACACATGTGAGTGTACACACATACATGACTGTGTAAAACAATAATATTCAACATGACAATTTTAAAGAAACAGATATATTTCGTTTTAGACGATTGGGAGATAAAATCAATGCCGTGTCTAATTCATTGAATGAAAACAAGTACCGCGTGGGGTAAGATAATCCCCGGTGTACGAGAATTCAAGCTTTTTTGTTTTCCTATAAATTATCACGTTAACAAAGTCTTACCTTTTTTTTTATTTTGATGCTTTAACGTTTTCCCCTTTTGACGAAGAGTTGATTAAAAAACAAAGTAAAAGTGTTGATTAAAATGTCAGAGTAATTGTTAAAATGTCTTGATTGTTCGAAAATAAAAAACGTAGAAATCTGGCGGAATTCTTTTTGAGATCGACAGGACGGTTGTAGAATTTTTCAACGCCAAGATTTCTACCATACAAGCTTTTCCCTTTTACTTTTGAATCCCTTAATTGAAGAGAAAACTAGAGGTGGATTTATAAAATGGACCATTACTTGTTGTACCAAAGAAGGCACGATCGAAAAAACAAAAAATACCTACTCATTGAATTTTATTCAAAAATCTTCTTGTTAATCTTAAATCTTTATAGTCAAATTTAAAATGTATTTTGTCAAATAAATGTTTTTTGAATTTTTATCATTACGTTGAAAAAAAAAATACCACGTAAATCTCTATGTGACGACCTTGCCTTGATAAAAGAGACAACATAATTATTACATATATTATATTTGTAGTGGTGTTCCTTGGTTTGTGTTTATCATTAACATGTCGCCATCAGGATGTGTTGAGAGAGTAAGATTTTTGTACGATTTGACGCTATATTAATATACAATACTTTTACTTTTTGTCACGTAACAAAATAAATGTACAATCCTATAGAAGCAGTAATAATAACAATCATACCCTGATTACGTCTGGCGTGTGAGTACACACGTATAAATGTATGTGCGCGTGTGTTGTTACAGCAGTGCGAGTTCGGCCTCGCGAAGATTATCCTTGGGCTTGCCTCTGAGGCACACGGGACAGGCCTCCTTTGAATCCTCTGACGACGACCAAAAAAACCCGTCAGGCTCCCCCACGTCCCCTACAGCAGCTCCCGCTATACCCGCGGCAGTAGGTTCCTCCACTAGGTAAGTGACTCAAGTGATTATTCTTACCTCTTGTGTAAAATTATACAAAATCAATAAAAAAAAAGAGAACCTCGTTATGAAACACGCGTTTTGCGCGATATACGTAAGAAATCACTCGCTCGCAAAAAAACAAAAAAAAATGGTAGAAAAAGTCACGACCAACGCACACGACCTTGAATACAATTGTACGAGCGGGTCGAAAAAGCACGACTCGAGCATCGTTTTGCCGGCCAAAATTTTATTATCGACCCCATGCAAAAAGCCTCGCGGGAGAGCTATGCCAAGGTGCGTTGGTGTGCCAAAAAATTGTTCGTTCCCTTGAAGCGCACAAAAAGTCAAAAAAAAAAAAAAAAAAAAAAGAAAAAAAAAAAAAAAATAAAATTGTAATGTGACGAATAAATGTGTTTTCAAAGGGGTCAGTACCTGCTGAAGCGGCGGATGCTGTTCAAATGGGGGGTGCGGGGGAGCGAAGCCGGATGTTTTACGTGGCCGCGAGGCCTCGCGGTCGGCCCCGACAACTCGATCGTCGTGGCCGACAGCTCGAATCACCGTGTCCAGGTGGGTAAATCACCACGCAATTCCGCCAATTTCGACTCAAACGCACGGACACATAATTTTTTTACAGATGTGCATATATATGTATATCATACAATACAAATGGTATGAATGTAACAACAAATGTGTCGTGATGTTTGACCGTGTATGCATATAAAAACGTAAGATGCGTGTGTGTGGGGACACCTAATCTGTTGTGATTGCACTGAACAGGTGTTCGACGCTAACGGGAACTTCGTAAGAGAGATCGGATCGTATGGTAGTGGCCAGGGCCAATTCGATTGTTTGGCCGGGGTCGCGGTGAACCGTATCGGGCAGTTCATCATTGCGGACCGGTACAACCACCGTATCCAGGTGTTCGACCCGTCGGGCCGCTTCCTTCGCTCGTTCGGCTACCAAGGAAGCTCAGACGGAAAATTCAACTACCCGTGGGGAATAACCACGGACGCGCTGGGCTTCATCTACGTCTGCGACAAGGAGAACCACAGAGTCCAGGTCTTCCAGTCAGATGGAACGTTCGGTGCGTATCATCCTCCCTTTGTCTCCGTTAAAACCATCTATGAAAATAAAACTATTTCCTACATCTCTTCCTTTTTTTTCTTTTTCAACTCGCAATTGGGGTGATTATACGATCGATCCCTCCAACTTTTTTCCTCGTCTAGCTGTACGTTTTCCTAAAAGTTAAAAAAATACATACTTTGTGCTTCATTTCATTTTGTTTCCAATAATACACAATTTTGGGATGATCTGTCCGGTTTCTTTAACGAAATTCACACTCATACCCGACCGAGCTTCGTTGACAGATTCCTGTAATTTGTGTATATATTCCTCAAAGTGAAAAAAAAATAAATAAATAAAAAAATCTCGATGTTGTGGCCCAAACAGTTGGCAAAATCGGCAGCTGCGGTTCTGGGCGGGGCCAACTCGAGCACCCGCACTACATCGCCGTGAGCAGTACGAACCGTGTCATCGTCAGCGACAGCAACAACCATCGCATCCAAATATTCGACGTTAACGGGCGCGTCCAGAAGATCATAGGCTCCGAGGGTGCCGACCCGGGCCAGTTCAAGTTCCCACGTGGCGTCGCGGTCGACGACCAAGGCTACATCGTCGTCGCCGACTCGGGCAACAACCGCATACAGATCTTCACGCCCGAGGGTGCCTTCCTCCACTCGTTCGGCGAGTGGGGCTGCGCTGACGGCCAGTTCAAGGGCATCGAGGGCATTGCCGTCACCTCGGCCGGCAACATCTTGGTCTGCGATCGCGAGAACCACCGAGTTCAAGTCTTTTGAGCTCCCCTCTCTCTCTCTCTCTCTCTCTCTCTCTCTTTCTTCGCGACCGGGATTTCTTCATCGTCGTCTCTCCGTCGCGATTGTTATTTATTCTTACTATTTTGTTGATCGCCAGTGCCTATCATTATACAACTATACTCGTTCTCGTCAAAGGGGGCTTTGGCCCATCACCTCTGCCGATCTCGTGTGCCTCAAGTATATTACATGCATCGCTATACTCTTGTACTGCAACAATATGATGTTTTCGCGACAAGGAGTGTATACGAGGTGGAAAGTGTTTTATCGATTGTACTTTTAGGAAAATTTTACGAGGGACGAGCGGAAGGATATCATACATGTAGATATATACGTATTGTAAACAAATCTTGTATTTTATGCTCTGTTATTTGAAACAGGAGGTATTTCTTTTTTTTTTCTATAATTATAAGCCCTCCTTTTATCTTTTATCAACTATAACTACTACTGTTTAGAAAAAAAAAAAAAAAAAATTGTTATTTAATTACGTTTTTTTGCGATAAAGAAAATTGAAATTGGATTATAGATTATACGAGGGGTAGGTTTTTGTTTTTCGACTATTGGGATTGGATTATTTATCAAACGAAATGTGGAAAATCAAGGACGCCACAGAGCGCCTCAGGAGCGACAATGATAACAATAAACAAGTAACTTAATTTTATTTGTACTTGAGGATGACGACTATCGTTTGTACTGTTTGTATGCTTTAAATAAATCGTTGCGGAAAAACATGTATTTTATTTTATCATTGAATGTTCGTTCTTACCTTTTCCAGCATCCATGTGAAGTCATAAAAAATTCATCAGCAGCAGAGATAATCGAGGATGGAGAAGTACTGGGATGGTTGAAGCAAAAAATAAATGAGTCAATAAATATATAATTTATTAAATGCAATGATGAAATGGTGTAACAATGGGGGGCGCTGGACGAGTGGCGATACTCATGTGGCGCAACTGTAATTGATTAATTAATTCGTAAAGTAATTAATTAATTATGAGCGAAAAATCGGGTTACGGCCGGAGATAAATTGGCACTTACCCACGTCCACGATACCCCCCGGATCGGAAATATATAGATAAAATATTTTCGTTATTTACAATATTAGTTCAAACGTTAG